ATGTTTTTCTTCAGCTGGAACTGGGGCCTTAGTCAAGGTAGAGGGAATTATGAACAGTTCCAAATACCAGTCAATATCGGCACAAAACCTTCCGGCTTCTGCTAGAAAGCTGAACAAAGAGGAGCTTCACCTTTCAGCATGACAACCACCCAAAGCATCCATCCAAATCCACAAAGGAATGGCTTCACCAGAAGAAGATGGAAGATTTGGAATGGCCCAGCCAGAGCCCAGACCTGAATCCGATGGACAATCTGTGGGGTGATCTGAAGAGGGCTGTGCGCAGGAGATGACACGCAATCTGACAGATTTGGAGCGTTTTTACAAGAAAGATCGGGCAAATATTGCCCGATGGAAAAGGTGGAAAAATCTTTGAAATTATTTATTTTTGTCTCATTTTTTTACATTACAGAAATCTGACATTTTAACCGGGGTGTGTGCAGACTTTTTATATCCACTGTATGTAGTACATTACATACTCCTGACCCCTGCACTATATACTCTCTATGTTGTACATTACATACTCCTGACCCCTGCACTATATATACTCTATGTTGTACATTACATACTCCTGACCCCTGCACTATATACTCTATGTTGTACATTATATACTCCTGACCCCTGCACTATGATACTATATACTCTATGTTGTACATTACATACTCCTGTACATTACATTACATACTCCTGACCCCTGCACTATATACTCTATGTTGTACATTACATACTCCTGACCCCTGCACTATATACTCTATGTTGTACATTACATACTCCTGACCCCTGCACTATATACTCTATGTTGTACATTACACTCCTGACCCCTGCACTATATACTCTATGTTGTACATTACATACTCCCCTGACCCCTGCACTATACTATATACTCTGTTGTACATTACATACTCCTGACCCCTGCACTATATACTCTATGTTGTACATTACATACTCCTGACCCCTGCACTATATACTCTATGTTGTACATTACATACTCCTCCTGACCCCTGCACTATATACTCTATGTTGTACATTACATACCTCCTGATTACACATTACATACTCCTGACCCCTGACTCTATGTTGTACTTACATCTACCCCTGCACTATATACTCTATGTTGTACATTACATACTCCTGACCCCTGCACTATATACTCTATGTTGTACATTACATACTCCTGACCCCTGCACTATATACTCTATGTTGTACATTTGTACATTACATCTCCTGACCCCTGCACTATATACTCTATGTTGTACATTACATCCTCCTGACCCCTGCACTATATACTCTGTGTTGTACTACATATCCTTGTACATATACTCTATGTTGTACTACATCCCTGACCCCTGCACTATATACTCTATGTTGTACATTACATCCTCCTGACCCCTGCACTATATACTCTATGTTGTACATTACATCCTCCTGACCCCTGCACTATATACTCTATGTTGTACATTACATACTCCTGACCCCTGCACTATATACTCTATGTTGTACATTACATACTCCTGACCCCTGCACTATATACTCTATGTTGTACATTACATCCTCCTCAATACATACATCCTGACCCTGCGCTATATACTCTATGTTGTACTTTACATCCTCCTGACCCCTGCGCTATATACTCTATGTTGTACATTACATCCTCCTGACCCCTGCGCTATATACTCTATGTTGTACATTACATCTCCTGACCCCTGCACTATATACTCTATGTTGTACATTACATACTCCTGACCCCTGCGCTATATACTCTATGTTGTACATTACATACTCCTGACCCCTGCACTATATACTCTATGTTGTACATTACATACTCCTGACCCCTGCACTATATACTCTGTGTTGTACATTACATTCTCCTGACCCCTGCACTATATACTCTGTGTTGTACATTACATACTCCTGACCCCTGCACTATATACTCTATGTTGTACATTACATACTCCTGACCCCTGCACTATATACTCTATGTTGTACATTACATCCTCCTGACCCCTGCACTATATACTCTATGTTGTACATTACATAGTCCTGACCCCTGCACTATATACTCTATGTTGTACATTACATACTCCTGACCCCTGCACTATATACTCTATGTTGTACATTACATCCTCCTGACCCCTGCACTATATACTCTATGTTTACATTACATACTCTTGACCCCTGCACTATATACTCTATGTTGTACATTACATCCTCCTGACCCCTGCACTATATACTCTATGTTGTACATTACATAGTCCTGACCCCTGCACTATATACTCTATGTTGTACATTACATCTCCTGACCCCTGCACTATATACTCTATGTTTACATTACATACTCCTGACCCCTGCACTATATACTCTATGTTGTACATTACATCCTCCTGACCCCTGCACTATATACTCTATGTTGTACATTACATCCTCCTGACCCCTGCACTATATACTCTATGTTGTACATTACATACTCCTGACCCCTGCACTATATACTCTATGTTGTACATTACATACTCCTGACCCCTGCACTATATACTCTATGTTGTACATTACATACCTCCTGACCCCTGCACTATATACTCTATGTTGTACATTACATACCCTGCACCCCTATATATACTCTATGTTGTACATTACATACTCCTCGACCCCTGCACTATATACTCTATGTTGTACATTACATCCTCCTGACCCCTGCACTATATACTCTATGTTGTACATTACATACTCCTGACCCCTGCACTATATACTCTATGTTGTACATTACATCCTCCTGACCCCTGCACTATATACTCTCTATGTTGTACATTACATACTCCTGACCCCTGCACTATATATACTCTATGTTGTACATTACATCCTCCTGACCCCTGCACTATATACTCTATGTTGTACATTACATACTCCTGACCCCTGCACTATATACTCTATGTTGTACATTACATCCTCCTGACCCCTGCACTATATACTCTATGTTGTACATTACATACTCCTGACCCCTGCACTATATACTCTATGTTGTACATTACATACTCCTGACCCCTGCACTATATACTCTATGTTGTACATTACATACTCCTGACCCCTGCACTATATACTCTATTGTATTACATACTCCTGACCCCTGCACTATATACTCTATGTTGTACATTACATACTCCTGACCCCTGCACTATATACTCTATGTTGTACATTACATCCTCCTGACCCCTGCACTATATACTCTGTTGTACATTACATACTCCTGACCCCTGCACTATATACTCTATGTTGTTGTACATTACATACTCCTGACCCCTGCACTATATACTCTATGTTGTACATTACATACTCCTGACCCTGCACTATATACTCTATGTTGTACATTACATACTCCTGACCCCTGCACTATATACTCTATGTTGTACATTACATACTCCTGACCCCTGCACTATATACTTACTATGTGCACTGTACATGTTGTACATTACATACTCCTGACCCCTGCACTATATACTCTATGTTGTACATTACATACTCCTGACCCCTGCACTATATATACTCTATGTTGTACATTACATCCTCCTGACCCCTGCACTATATACTCTATGTTGTACATTACATAGTCCTGACCCCTGCACTATATACTCTATGTTGTACATTACATACTCCTGACCCCTGCACTATATATCTCTATGCTTACATTACATACTCCTGACCTCTGCACTATATACTCTATGTTGTACATTACATACTCCTGACCCCTGCACTATATACTCTATGTTGTACATTACATCCTCCTGACCCCTGCACTATATACTCTATGTTGTACATTACATCCTCCTGACCCCTGCACTATATACTCTATGTTGTACATTACATACTCCTGACCCCTGCACTATATACTCTATGTTGTACATTACATACTCCTGACCCCTGCACTATATACTCTATGTTGTACATTACATACTCCTGACCCCTGCACTATATACTCTATGTTGTACATTACATACTCCTGACCCCTGCACTATATACTCTATGTTGTACATTACATACTCCTGACCCCTGCACTATATACTCCATGTTGTACATTCCATAGTCCTGACTTCTGCTCTCCCCCCCCCCCCCCCCCACTGCTATATAAACACATAATATGGATTCTCTTTTGTTACACCCATTTCCTCCAGCTGGACATTTTATATCGGATGATGTGATTGGAGCACAGACTTTTACATGGTGATAATAATGTGATAACATCCTCCAACTTTGGACCCTTAAACAGAAAGTGATAATGAGGGAGGAGTCAATACCCCAATGATGGTGGTCTTCAGGATCAGTCCAGTCTTCATCTTGGTTGTTCTCCCCCCATCCTCACTCTCTGACCTCTGGTGGGGCTCAGCCCCGCTGTTCTTCATGACTAAATCATGGAGTAAATAAGGAAGTGCAGTACTTCTTGTGTTGGGAAGATGGCGATGAGTGATAGAGGGGGTGGGGACCCTCGTCCTATAATCCCCTCATCACTGTCCCTCCTATAAAAGACAGTTCTGGTTGTTTCCTCACTCTCTGACTAAGGTCCATGAATAAAGAAATGACCTGGTAGGAGATCAGAGGAGCCATTTCCTAGTTCCCTTGAGGGTGGAATTGTAAGCTCCTCAGAGCCAAGCTGCCTGATGTGGGCGGAGTCCTGGTTTGGGGGAACCAATCAGCTCCTGTCTAGTAATCCTCTTTGTCTTTGTATTTTAGTCCATGGCCGGGAGATGAGGAAAACCTCCGGATTGTCTCACTTTGTCTCCAGACTGGAAAGTAGAAGATGAGGACATCACACAGTATAGTCCAGGAGAAAACCCGCTCCCTCCAATGTCCATCCGGCACCACCCAGTGTAGATGGACCATCGGATTCCTCGTATCCTGAGGAACCTCAGACTGTGCGGGACCGGGCCGGCCTTCCAACAGGGAAGAGCTTCTCCTGTCCTGAGTGTGGGAAATGTTTTTCAGAGAAGTCCAATCTTCATAAACATCAGATATCTCACATGGGGGAAAAGCCACATTCCTGTCCTGAGTGTGGGAAATGTTTTTCACAGAAGTCCCCCATCTTTACAGACATGAGAGATCTCACACAGGGGAGAAGCCACATTACTGTCCTGAGTGTGGGAAATGTTTTTCACAGAAGTCCAGTCTTTACACACATCAGAGATGTCACACGGGAGAGAAGCCATATTCCTGTCCTGAGTGCAGGAAATGTTTTTCACAGAAGTCCCATCTTTACACACATCAGAGATATCACACGGGGGAGAAGCCGTATTCCTGTTCTGAGTGTGGAAAATGCTTTTCAGAGAAGTCCAATCTTCATAAACATCAGAGATCTCACACAGGGGAGAAGCCGTATGCCTGTTCTGAGTGTGGAAAATGTTTTTCAGTGAAGTCTAGTCTTTACAGACATCAGAGATCTCACACCGAAGAAAAGCCGTATTCTTGTCCTGAGTGTGGGAAATGTTTTTCAGTGAAGTCCAGTCTTTACACACATCAGAGATCTCACACTGGGGAAAAGCCATATTCCTGTCTTGAGTGCGGGAAATGTTTTTCAGTGAAGTCCAATCTTTACACACATCAGAGATATCACACGGGGGGAAGCGGTATTCCTGTTCTGAGTGTGGAAAATGCTTTTTAGAGAAGTCCAATCTTCATAAACATCAGAGATCTCACACGGGGGAGAAGCCGTATTCCTGTCCTGAGTGTGGGAAATGTTTTTTAGATAAGTCCAGTCTTTACACACATCAGAGATCTCACACTGAAGAAAAGCCACATTCTTGTCCTGAGTGCGGGAAATGTTTTTTAGTGAAGTCCAGTCTTTACACACATCAGAGATCTCACACAGGGGAGAAGCCATATTCCTGTCTTGAGTGTGGGAAATGTTTTTCAGTGAAGTCCAATCTTTACACACATCAAAGATCTCACACAGGGGAGAAGCCGTATTCCTGTCCTAAGTGTGGGAAATGTTTTTCACAGAAGTCCAGTCTTTACACACATCAGAGATCTCACACGAGGGAGAAGCCACTTTCCTGTCCTGAGTGAGGGAAATGTTCATCATTGAAGTCCTGTCTTCCTGTACATCAGGTCCCACACAACCCTGGAGGTGTATTGGTGCCTTGAGTGCGGGAAATGTCTGCTAGATGAATGTTGCTGGACATCCCAGCTCTCATGTAGGGAAGAAGCACACCCTGATGTACATCTCAGATACAGGTACACAATGATGACAAATCACAGCTTGAACTGTCTTGCTTTGCATGTAATGAGTCTATCTCATATATTAGTTTCACCTTTTAAGTTGCTGAACTGAAATAAATGAACTTTTGCACCATATTCTCATTTTTCCAGTTTCACCTGTATAACTCATGGCTGATCTTCATCATGGAAGGAACAGTTCATAAGGAGATCAGAGGCCCCCAAAGACATGGATGAAGTGTGGGACCGGGTTGGCCATTGATGGCAGGAGAAGAATAAAAATAGAGTCCTGCCCTGTGATTGGCTGAGTACATTTTGTGGTGGGAGATTTCACAAACACTTGGAGGTCTATGGAGAACAATGTTGAACGGATGTGACCGGCATTCTCCAGAATAGATTTAATAGGAAATACATTCTCTACCTTTAATTGCTGGATGTGTTCATCAGAAAAGGTGTCCCTGGAAATGTTTCTGAAAATTTGTAGCTATGTTCATGTAGTATGTCTGTTATTGCTGATCATCTCCTGTAGTATGTATGCAGTCTCTGACAGTCTCCTGTAGTATGTATGCAGTCTCTGACCGTCTCCTGTAGTATGTCTGCAGTCTCTGACCGTCTCCTGTAGTATGTCTGCAGTCTCTGACCATCTCCTGTACTATGTCTGCAGTCTCTGACCGTCTCCTGTAGTATGTCTGCAGTCTCTGACCATCTCCTGTAGTATGTCTGCAGACCATCTCAGTCTGACCGTCCCAGCCTACAAGAAAAGGCTGGAGAGTTGGGTCTCAGCTACAGGGGACTTACTAAAGAACAGCTGGTCCGAATACTGGAGGAAGCTGGCCAACAGGAGTTGGGCCTGACATGGGTCAGGCACCACCCGTGAGGATGTACCAGAGCTACCTGGGAAATCCAGTAAGAGCCCATGGCTTATCTGGTGCTAGAGATGGCCATTCTGGGGGAGGGTGCCACTACAGAAAGGAAACTTGCAGTCACTGAAAAGACACAAAAGAGACACACAGAGTGGGAGGCTACAAAGAACACAGAGAAGCCACCTCTGTGTCTGTCCCTGTGGTAAGGAAACCACAAGAATCTTCAGGATGGACTTTAAGCCCTACCAAGAACATACTGGAGATGTGGATTGTAGTGACTTTTGGGGGGACTGTTTATTAAGAAAAATAATATTATCCCAAAATTGGGAATCCCAGCTGACTGTCAGGGGTTAACATTTTAGGGTGAATTTCAAGGGATATTTCAAGAGGTTACCACACACACACAATGAGTGGAAGAGACTTGTTCAAGACACAATATTACTATTTGAATTTCTACAGGTGATCAAACAAGAGTACCAGAAAAGACAATGGTGGGATCTGATTCTGGTTTTTCTAAGACCTTGCAAAGTGTCATCTAAACAAGTACCATGGTCTATGGGAAGCCAGGAGACGTCACCTGCAGGGAACTTAATTATAGAGTCAAACACCACTATTTGGACTTCTGCAGGTGAACATATACAAGGTCTGGAAGTGACAATAGGGGAACCAAACCTGATTGTCTGAAAGCTCACACAAAACCTTGGAAAGTGTGATGAACAAACCGTGAAATGTGACAATATGCTATTGAACTGAGGTTTTAACTCCAGGCCAGTCTATTTACCTTAATTACTCAACAATGGATAAGGTTCTCCGTCACATTCCCATGAACTACATTCAGCCCAAGGTAAAATCTGGGTCAGCTAAGATACAAAGAAAAATGTGGGTTTATATCAATGGGATCTTATAAAGGGTATGTTTCCACACACCAAAATATATTCAACAAAGTTGGGTATTGCATACCACTCAATTAAGTGTGAAATGATAAAGAATAGATGATGATTTATGAATTGGTGTCAATTGTACATTTCCAAAGAAATCAGCTATCTCAAAACAGCTTAAATATCAGGGAAATGAGAAACTGAATGTACATATATCTTTCTATGATCCTTATCCAAGAATTAGTATTGAAATCAACTATACTTGAATAGGACATATATATTTGATACCTAAAGACATTTTGGTTTCAATCAAAGCATGAGTCATTAAAACACAAATTTCCTTGGATGCCTGACTGTCCCCAGTGGACAGGTGAGGAATATCTCTAGGTACGCACACTTCTCGACCGGCCAATCAACAAGCCAGTTGGGAGGGTCCCTTGAAACAAAGGATTGTATGGTATAAAAAGGCCGTACACCTCACATACTCAATCAAGCTGAAAATCTGACACTTAAAAATCTGAAAACAATCTTCTAAACTTCAAGACTTCTAAACTTCTTCTATGACACTTCTGATCTAGACTTTTATCGACACGTCTATGACTATACTGAGCTACTTCTTCTGATCTACTTTCCTTATATAATATCTACACTCTACTCTAAACACTACAATCAAGACTGCACTATCTCTCACTTGCTACCTGCGGCCATTTTGCTGAAGGAGTCCAGCTGCCATTTTGTCTTGAGGACCATTTGAAGGCCCAACTGCATCCCACTGGGGAGTCCTCAAAATCAAGGTTCTAGGAGTGGTGAGACTGCTAGGATATTGTATTTTATTTGATATTTCCAATTTTCCAAAGACTTATAGCATTTGTATTGTGTGTTTTAGGAATATTAAGATTATATACATAATTATCACTAAAAAGTATTTGGTTTGGTATTGAGTGTATATATTTCATATTTCACTGATCGGTAGTTTTGTTGTAGTGCAATTTATCAGAGATACTTTTCTTTTTTCTCTATGGCCACGAGAAATTTTAAATAATTGCTGAAGCACTATAAGGTTACAACTTATACCTAAATTAGATTTTTCCTCTATTTACTATTATCTATCATCTATTGGGATCATATAGAATTAGCCTGTCATATTTTTATTGTATGTACAAGTATACATTTATCACCAGTCTTTTGCGTTTGTATTAATATATATATATAAATTTTGTACATAAATAAATTTATTTATCAAAAGGCAATTTTTGTTTCTATGGTACGAAATCATACTGGCTAAAAGGACTCAAGGTATATTATTAAGTGGTGATCAAATTATTAAGGTGTCCAAATTATTGGTTCATTAAATATTTGCCGTATTTTAACGGCTGGAGGCATTGCGATATTTTGTTTAAGGGAGAGGACACCACCCTACGTATTTAGAATAAATTCTTACATAAATCACCACAGGACAAATTTGGAGGCACTGCTGAGAGCCAAAGAAATCGTACCATAATACAAAACGCACTGGTGATTATACCATTGTCAAAAACATATTTTGTATAAAAATGGCATCCAGTAACCACGGATCCACCTCTTCCAAGCATAGCAAGGAAAAGGTAGCTGTCCAGAATGTTGAGGAGGAAACTCCTAAGAGAGCTAGAAAATCCTGCGATGCTTTGCAAAGGTATACAGAATGTACGGTAATAGATTATCTAGGATTAGATTTAGGGGATAACATTGAGGAATTAGTAGCAGAAGAGAAAAAGCAAGCTATGAGCACCTCTGAGGACCTGTTTAACGAAGAAGGTCGGTTTGTCAGGTTTTTTTTGCATTTGCTGAAGCAGAAAATAATAAAAGCCGTGACAGACTTCTAGAAGCCTGGCCCATGTTATGGTTTATGAGCAGTGAAGCTGCCCAGCAAACACCAGCTTTAAGGGAGGACCTGTCAGAAGCCCGCCACCTTTTGAAAGACAGAGATCAGGAAATTGAGTCCTTGAGGGAGAAGCTTGACCATACATGTGTTTGTCTCAACGAATCCAAGGAGCATCAAGCTAGATTGGTCAAAGACATTCAATGTGCTCAAGGCTTATATGAGGAAAGTTTTCAGGAATTAAAACAATTTAAAAAGAGATATCAGGATTTAAAACAAGAAGTAGAGTTCTTTAGATCAGGAAGGATATCTCCTGTTGAAATTAATGTTCATCCAGGGGATAAGATGACCAATCAGAAGTTGCTTTTGTAAAGGTCTGAGCAAAAAGCACTGGAGGAGCAGATTGTCAGGTTAACTGCCCAAATAAATTCTAGAGTCCAGAACCGGACCTACCCAGTTAAGCAGGAGGAGGCTGATGAACGGGAATACCCATATCACAGTGAAGTACCTGATAGTGAGACAGAGACGGAATATAGGTCGCCCCCTAGGCTCCAAAGATATACCCCAGAGCATGCAGAAGAAGAGTATGAGGGTTCATATAGGCAGGAAGGGAAGTCCCGGGGGTCATTCAGAAGATATGACACCCCAAAGGTCATTCAATTTTTGAAAGACACCATTCCTATTTTCACCAAGAAAGGGTCCCTGGAAATTACTGAACATATGAAAACATATGAACAAGCGTTAGAAATTCTAGGCATTAGGGATGACCACACCAAAATTGAATTATTGCCATGGGTGTTTGAAGAAAAATACCGGCAATTCTTTGATACCTTGAAGGCCTTTTCCAATCAGTCCTGGAGAGAGGTAAAACATAGGTGCCACATGGAATTTGGGCCTTATAGAACTGTTACCTCTGCCAAGGCTGCGGCCTACAATTTAAAGTGTGGTCCTCACCAAAGCCCTGCAGAATTTCTGGCCGTCCTCATAAATGCATATATCCTGGCTGAGAAGGATCCCAATCCTGACCAGCCAGAATTCAAGACTCTATTTTATGAAGCATTACCTGCTTACATAAAATTGGGACTTGCTCAGGATTACAGAAAGGGACGCTCTCTTGATTGGCTGGTGAAAGAGAGTGACTATCTGTTCTCAATCCAACAGTCCAGTGAGGGCGGGATAAAAAGAGCACAAGAATAGTCCCAAGATAGTGGCAGCCACTACCGTTTCCCCTCCAAATCTAAATTTGCAGGC